ATAAAGAAGTTAAGTGAAACAGGCATGCTATCTTCCAAGATCAGGTAGACTTAGACATGCAACAGCAGCACAGTTCAATCCTACCCGCCTTCATGTGTCCTTTGTTCTCGGTGAGCACAAACAGATCAATCAAGAGCTAGGTAAGGGAGAACTTGTACATTGAAAAGCTGAATCTTTTGTGTACATTCCTGATCTTTCTGCTCATATCTCAGTGGCAAGACGTTAGACCTATGGCAAGTTAGTGCTGTATCAGACCCCAAAGCTCCCTGGAGCTTCCTTTTACCCTCTCTGTTGGAGGCCATCACTGGCTCCGCCTGGCAGAAACATTTGTTGACAATATTAATAATAGTCTTATTGATCTTATGATCTGGGCCATGTTTATTTGGCATTATATCATCCAGACTTAAATCTAAATGCCTACCCAAGATGTGAGTGCCTGACAGCTACCAAAGGGCTCTGGATTTACCCCCTGAGGAATATCTCTGGCTGCTAATCATGACTAGGAATCCCTCTAGCCAAAAATGGCCAGACAGAGCATCATCCATTATTCTCTATCAGCAGATAGGGACACGTCGACAGAAGGCGCAATATTATGGACAGAAAAGTCAGACAGGAATTAGTGGACATTCAGAGAGAGCAGCCCCTCAAGAGAGTCAGTGCAAAAGGGTAGACAAACGTATCAGAACTGTGGCAAGACACAAATGTAAAGAGAGCCAGGCTTCAAAGAGGAGATGCTATAGAAAGCTTTGTTCTAACAGTGTTTGTAAACAGGATATCATGTCTGCATCTTGTACGATGAATAACCACTAAGACAACAATATGCAAGGTATTAATTATTGAAACTGTCCTACTGATCAGATTTGAAACCATCTCATTGCTCTTTGTTTCTCAATAAAATTATGGGAAAAAAGTGGAGATGCTACACCGAGGCCTGTAGGCCTTGCGAGGGATAAATAGTGGTTGAGATGGTGCTGTTACCAGCACCACCTCACCTGGTGAGACTAGGCAGTACATCACACTCAGGTGGGGGTCCAGACACACTGATCCATGCTCCTATTCCTTTCCAAGAATGGCTTTTGTCACATTAAAAGTTATATATCAGCAAAGTTAATGATGTTGGGGTCAGAGATGTAGCTCCTGCCTGGCAAGCACAAGCTCCTAAGTTTGATCCCGGTTACCTCCCTTTAAAAAAAGAAACAGACAAAGTTAATGATGCTTGCCAATATATCCTTGCAACCAGCCCTGCTTCCCTACTGCATCAACATTAGCTAAGTGACCATTGCAGTTAGGGGCTTACAAGGGGAAACAATACCATACAGGACACTTAATATTAAGATCATTTTGTAATAGTCACCCAAAGAGTCATGCACAGAAAGAGCACAGGAAATCTGTCCACACACTAAAGATTAAAGAATTCACTGGAGGGCCTGAATCTCATAGTAATGTCCTGCATGAGTCCAGGCGAAGACATGGAGCTCATAACAGTGCCCCCCAAGTGCAACTAGAGGCCTAGAGCCCATGACAATGTCCCATGCAGGCCTGCTCCATGGATCTGTGCTGGGGAGGCCCAAAGGTCATCAGTGGAAGCCAGAAAGTTAGTGCAAGGGATGAAGGATCTGTGTCAGCAGACTGAGGGATCTGCACTGGAATCAGCAAGCAAGGCTCAAGGTAAGATTCAGAGCTCCCCCAGAGTGAACTGTAGCCATTCCCAGCGACACCAAAGTCCCAAACTCCTTTGACGACATGAACAGCTAAGTTCATCAGCAAGGCCAGCATGACAAATTCTTCCAGGAGAACCAACAGCAGCTCCAGGAAAACCAATAGTTCCAACACCTCCCAGCAGCTTCACCCAGCTCCCAACAGCCTTTGACAGCATCTGATTCTGCCTCTTATGCTGTCAGCAAGAATCCTCCCTCACCCAGCACCACACTGGTTCAGTTCAGCTGGGTGTTATAAGCTGACTGAACTATCAATCCGCCACAGCACCTAAGCTTGCTATCCTACAGGCTGATTGTAGTTTGACCCATAGCTACCCAAGTTGTTACTTTGATGATTTTATCTTGGACGCCTGTGGACAAAAAGTGTCAACAGCAATCCACTTCTGAGACCCTCCTGTCTCAAACACTTTCTCTCAATAAACTTTGCTTCTGTTAGCTTCCTCTTTTCATGAGTCCATTCTCCACAATCAAGAGAAGCAAACTTGACACATTTGGCATCTAACAGATTGGAAGTTATGACTGTGTAATAGTTACATAAATATATACTCTTTAGGAAGGGCTAAAGAAACAATCAACTCTAACTGTTAGTAATTACAGAAAGCAACACAGAAGAGGATGTGCTAAAAATTAAAAACATAAAGAAGTATTTGAGAAGGAGATAAAATAAGAGAAATTGTGGGGAATCATTCTAGGAAGAAAGATGTCACAAAAGATCCAGAAGCTTTACTAATATATTTCTCATTAAATGATCTGTTTAGTGACTGCTCATGCCAAGCTGAGACATGCTATTAACACTTGTGATCCACCACTTAGATTTACTATCCATATTTTTGTACAGTTTTGTACATCTTATTTATAGAGTCTCAAAGTCTGTGCACAGTAAACCTTCCTTATACACTACTGTAATTTTTTCTGATTGTACTGTAGAGTACTGTATTTTTATGTTCTGCTACATATTATAGTACTGTATGTAAGAGTTATGCAAATAAAAACAAAGCCATCCAGTTGGAGTTTCCTCTGACCACTTCCTCGCTCTGGATATTGTCACGTGCGGTGCACACTTCCTCATTTAGGGACCATTTCATCTCATGTTGTAGTCGCATGAATGAAGCTCAGTCGCTGAAGGAGGCATGTCTCATTTATTTATTTATTTATTTATTTATTGATGTATGTATTTTGGCATGTCTCTGCTGTTCGATTTTTGGAGTGATTTCCAGAAGCTGAAGTCAGCCTGGATTATAGAACAAGAAAGAGGACACTGTGAAGATGATTAGAAATATAAAATATCCTGCTGAGAAATTTGGATTTTATCTTAGAAGAAACAGAGAATGCATTACTTGCCATAAAGTAGTTTGAAATGCACCTGGATAAAACTGTGGTAGGATAAAAGAAGATAAAAGATAGGTAGAAAGGAGACAAAAAACCGTAAGAAAACAGTTGTATTTTAAGATGCTGCAGCCTCCAGGAACCAGTCTGAGTTACCCAAGGTGACGCATATCAGCATTACTTAGGTAAATGTAAGCTCTTTACCTACTAGATCCATCACACCCAAACTTCCTTCAGAAGGGTAAATGTTCATACGTTGGCTTCGTTGAAAAAAGGAAGGAACAAGAGCTGATCACAAGACAAAGGAGTAGGTTGAATGAACCCTAAGAATAAAATCCTATCTATTTTTTAAAATGCCCATTCCAGGAGAATGGGCTAACTCCCTGGGGAGGGGTTACCCGGGCTTTTCCACCCTTTCAGGAGAAGGACAAAAGCTACCAGTTCCCAGCTGTAATGCCTCCACCTCCGTGAGCACTCACACCTCACTCTTGCGTGTGTCCTAAATCTCTATTAAATCCTTCCTGTCCTGAAAATGCTTTCTCCACAACAGGAGTCATTGAACCTACCACAGAGGTAGGCCAGGGTCTTTATTTCAGCTCCAGGGACTCTCAGATCTAGCCTCGTGATGCAACTGAGGTGTAGAACAAGACAGCCAAGACTCTACAGCCGTTTTGTACTGAATATTACACTGTGCTATAAAAATTTGTGGAGAAACTAAGTGAACACACTTTCCCTTGAACTGTTCACATGCTATTTTGTAATTTCACAAACCAAAAGCCAAATATTGTCACTCTTGTGCACAGCCTCACTTGAGTATGCATATTTGTGTGGTACTGTGAAGTAAAAGATTCTGTTATTTAGATCTTTATTCTTTTTGGCCATTTCTGACCACTGCTAATCTGAATTTCTTTCCTCTGTTGCTGCTGAGCACTTGAAACCTCCTCTCCTCATATCATTAGGCATTAATCAACTAATTGGGCCACCCATTCCTATTTATTAAATTCCTTTATGTGGAAAACACTAAATGCTAGGCTGGGGTAACATTAATGTGGATTAGAGTTGTAACAATGTCCTGTGTAAGAAGAGTGATTAAATTCACCAGGCCTCCTCTCCATTTGGAAAAATTCTACTCGGGCTTTCAGTGTGTGAATGGTGCCCAGCCACACCAGTGATTCATCTTTACTTCAGTCTACCAATTCAAATGCTAATTTTCTCTGGAAACTCAGTCACAGCACACACAAAAATGCCCTATAAGCTACCAGGCATCCCTTCAGCTTAGTGAAGTTGAGCTATGAAATTAACCACTACACTCTAGAATCCTCTAGAACACAGAAAGCTTCCTAAAGTACTTGTACTGAGCATCCTAGTGCTTTAGTCCATTAAAAGGTTCAAGCTTCATGAACAGTGGAATCCAGAGAGATCTCTACAGCTTTTTGTCTTTTCTTTTATACTCTGTGTACCACAAACAGAGATTTTTAGCTTAGATAAAACCTGTGCTGGTGACATTAGTTTGCATTCCGATTAAATATCAACTAATCTATTTCATTAAAACACCTTATAAAATGTAACCAATATATCACAGAATTTTACATCATGACTTACTTATTGGACTGTTTTACCTGGGCTATGACTTAAAACTCAATAATAAAATTATTTTTGGTGCTGATGGGTGGCATTGCATGATGAATAGACACCGTACTTAGAAACATTTAATTACAAGAAAAAAAGAGCATAATCTGAGGAATTGTGACACACACCTCAGCGTCTGTGTAGTGGCAAAACAGGTTACAACTGATGTTGTAATATGTGAATTGAGAGTTAGTTTCGTGCTGTAAGATGGCTGTATCACCTGTGGAGGCTGCATCACCCAGGCTACATTTAAGTTATTGCTTACGATTCAATATTTATGGACAAATTTTAATCTCAGCACTGTGAAGAGATCGAACACAGGATATCATGGGTTTCAAAACTCTCTGTTTGGGGGCGCTGTGTGTATTCTTTTTATCTCGCATTTATACCCCCATACCTGACAGCATTGAAGAAAGCTGGAAAGTAATGGCATTGGATGTAATCGCAAAAGCCTGCACACTTATGGTAAGATGAATATTTCTTTCTTTCTTGGATATAGTGATGTCACGTCAGTTGAAATTCAGTGCCTGTGAGCTTTTAAAATTGATGGCATGAAAGTTATATTATCTTGTGAGAAACATAATTTGTTTCTCAGGATAAATTGACCAAAATAATATTTGGTGTGTGAAACTTGTCACATTAATTAAAACAAAGTGAAACAAGTTTCTTTTTCTAGAGTTTCTAGAACTTTATAGTGTACAAATGAAGTCTCTGTATACTTTGATATAGTGTATACTGTGATATGTATATGGAGTGGTATTTTTGAAGGGAAATGTTTTGTGGTTTATCTGTCAATCTGACTTTCAGCTATATAATCAAGTCCCACGCTTATGGTATAGAGATAGAGAATATTCATGCTTGTTCCTGTTTAGTATCTTGTATTTCTACTGCTGGAATTATCTATCTTTAATTCTAATGACTGAATTTCAGAGATTACCTGATCTGGAGTATGCAGAATAGATTGAGTTTACACAAAAGCACCTTTGTAGTTAGAATCTCAAATTTTTGAGCTCTTAAAAATATACAGGTCTTTAGAACACATGTCTGTAGTCCTTCTCCACTATCTTCCAGTAATTTTTGTCAATTTATAGAACAGAAAGGCATGTGCAGGTAGAAATTAACAACTCTAAAATTTGATCCCAGGACTTGCTCATTTTAAAAACATGCGCTCTTTCTGCAAACAGGAGAGAGAGCTTCTAGAAATGCTCCTTAGAAACAGAAACAATTAGTGGCTGAACGTAGAAGGCAACAGTAGCAGCAGATGATTAGTAAAGAGAACCGGACAGTGGAATACAGAGGAAGAGCCGCTGCTGGGGCGCTCGGCACAGCCTGCTGCGGCTCCGGGAAGCCCCATCTGCCTCTAGCTGGTGTCTACTGAGAGCTTGAATTTTTCCTGTATTCTCTTCTGGGAGCTGCTTCACCATAACGATATCTTTCTTTGACTGCTTGGTATATAAATGGAAGAATAAGTTAATTTTTAAAATTGAAAGTACACCTTAATTTTCATTCTAGCAAATTTCAAAATTTGAGAATGGGAGGTAGCCCAGTGGTAGAGTACTTGGCTAGCATCTATAAAGTCTTGGGTTGAATTCCCAGCAACATACACACAAAAGTCAAATTAAATGATGTGACTTGTTTGAAAAAAATCTTTTGCTGTTTCAAGAAAAACAATTTTGCTCTTATCAGGATTGAATTTTGTGACTTACTTAATAAGAACACTTAATATTTTAACATATGAAGAGAAAGCAAAAATCAAAATTCCTCATAGAATGGCCATTGAAAAGCAATTCAATATTATGCAAATCTCTAAGCTGGAAGTGTATATATCACATATCTCATATACATATATCTA